AAATTGTTACCTCCTTCCCTGTTTCCCGAGTCAGAAATGATCTCAAACTCCTTTGGACACCATTGGTGTTTTCGTTCTATCTACTTCATCCATCAAGTGACTTAACAATATTAATTGAGGATTTTTATGTGCTGGTCTTTGTAGTGGAGTCAGACAAGGTCATGGTCTTGAGAATGGGTGTTCTAGAAAAGGGAGATGCATAATAAGAAAGTAAACAGGATACTTTTAGGTGATGATGAGTAACGTGAGAGTGAACAACTTCAGAGCTACTTCAGACAGAGCAGAGAGAAAGCGCCCTTCCAGGTAGATGGCATTTTGAATTAAGATATGGATGATGCGGGCCAGCCTCATGGAGATCTAGGTGGAAAGGTCTCAAGCTAAGATAGGCAGTATAAGGGCCGAAGTGGGACCAGCTGTGGCACGTTTGAGGAATGGATTGGAAGCCAGAGTAGCTGAAAAGCAGTGATGGAGGGGAGAGTTAGGGATTGTCATGTGGTTAGAGTCCCTTTTGTGGGCATACAGTGATGGCAGAAGATGACCCGGACACTTTATCCTTTTTCCCACCTTGCCGTTGGACTTGTGTTTAATAGTGCTTTGTGTCTGATGTCCTGTCAACTGCCTGAAAGACCAACTCTGACTTATTTGTCATTTGTTCTTTACGACGTCTACCTTCAGACATGCATGGTTATGTGTATTAGAATGCTAAGCTTATTTTATTCTGGGGTAAAAATGAAGCTTGTCTAGTCTGTCTGGGGAAAGAAGGGTTACCAGCAGGTCACTGAACTCATTTTGGGTGCAGAGTCACCTGCCAAAAACAGGGTGGGGGGGACTAGCAGGAAACAAATTGCATCTGTACGAAGAGTCTCCTTCCGTCTCCGACATGTCAGCTGATGTGTGGTCCTTGTCCCTTTTCTATTCAGCCTTGTCATCCACACCCAACGTGCTATCAGGATGTATACAGAAGACAATTTCTCAGTCTTGTCACTACTGACATCTTGGGTGGGGTCAATCTTTGTTGGGGGAGGTGGTGCCTGTGCATTGTAAGATGGTCAGCAGCACCACTGGCCTCTGTCCTAACTTCCAGAAGCATCTGTTTCCCTAGTTGTGAGAATCCCAAATATCTTCTTGGGATTAGGTGCCTCTGACTGAGAGCCAGTGACGCAAGGCTACAACTCAGAGGGGTCTCGGGGACTGGTCCATGTATCCCCCTCTTCCCTTATTTCACAAATGAGGACACGCAGGCCTAGCGTGGTGAGGTGAGTCGCCCACCTTGCACAGTGATTGCTAGTAATTCAGATAGCAGACTTCATATCTTTTAAATCTCATCTTGCTGCTTCCCCTCCTCCCCACAGTGACACTCAAAGTAGAAAGGCAGAATGAATTAGAATTTAGGTCAAGCTGTTCATTAGCCCCACGACCTTGAATTCTGAGTCTGCATTTCCTCTTATGAGGGTAACAATTCTCACCCTTGCAGGGTTGCAATCCCTAGTCTGCGTGGCTGTTCTGAGAACTAAATGGGAGGTATCTGAAGCTCTAGCATCCCACCTACTACGCAGTTAGCTCTGAGCAGATGCTGGTTCCTGTTCCTTGGTGTGCTATAGAAGTGGCAAACGTAGTACGGAGGAGGAGAGTTGTCACCACAAGCCGAGGCTGAGGGGCAGTGCCTTCTAGTGAACCATGTTAAAAATGCAAGTGGTGTCTAGAATGGAAACAGCCAAGTAGTTTTCCAGCTTGGAAAATAACTGACTTTTGAAGCCTGACTCATTTGACAGCGTTGGTTTTTTCCTTTCTCCTGAGGAGAGACTTCTCTGATGATTATCTTACCTCCAATGTCTGGCATCTCTCTTTTCTCCCTAGCAGGATGTTATGCTGTTGCAAACATGCCTGAAGGGTGAAGGAGCATTCAGAGCTTAAGTTAGAGGCTTTTCTTGTATCAGGTGAATTTAATGACATTTTCTTCTTTTGCACAAAGGAAGGTTTGCTTGTTTGTGGTGTTGGGAATGGAACTCAGGGTTTGGTGCATGCTAGGCGATCAGTCTATCACTGAGCTAACACACAGCAAGGGCTATGGGTATTTGATATCCTGGGCTTCCCTGTCCATCCTGGATAATTACTCATTGAGAATTCAAGATAGGCCAGGTGAGATACTCTTTAGAAGTCTAGTACTAGCCAGCTGCCAATCTTTGGCCTTGATTTAAGATGTGTTATATACATCGACCAAATTCCTACAAGGAAAGTAATCAATAGATACTGCAAACACGTATGTATATGAATAAATAAATAAATAAAGCTAAAAAGAAGAAGAAACCAGTTTCTTTGCTCCACAGACAGCCTCACAATATGGGATATGCACAGAGCAAAGGGAAGGGGAAAAGCATACCAAGAAGTGGCCTGCTAATAGGAAAACTTTTGTTTTTGTCTGGCCATGAACAAATATCTCTCACAGAACACTTTGTAATTTTCAAAGTTTTCATGAATGCTTTCATAATCCAATTCAAGTTCCATTCTGGCCACATATTAGAATCAGATGGGAGTTCAGAACAAAAGTACCCAAAACAACAACAACATTTCTATTATTATTGCTCGTATGTCATTGCAGACCAACTAAATCTATAAGTGCATCTTGGACACCAGTGACTCTTTAAAGTTCCGCTAGGGGGTTCTAATGTGCAATCAGGAAGAGAATCACTGCCTATCTGGAAACAGAATAGCCCATGTCTTTGATGAGTAAAATAAGGCACAGGGCAGTAGAGTTGGTTTTGTTGTCTCTCTTGAATGCAGAGCTGGGAGGACAAGCCAGGAATAGAAACCCTGGTTATTTCCATTGTAGTTCTCTGCCCAAAAAGTTTCTTGGAGGAAGAAGCTTCTTCAAGATCTCCACTCATCTGTAAAGTAGCATATGGATGGATCCCTTTCCTTCCTAGAAATTCTTTCCTAGAGAGCACATGTGTGTTTGGTAAGGAACAAACTCATCTTCTTATCTATTATTTAAGACAAGGTCATTCTGATATTATTTCCATGGAAGGCAGTCAAGCCCTCTTCTGCAGGGTCTTGCTGATCCTGTTTTAGCACTGATCATGTATTACTGCCCAAATAACTGGAAGAATAGGTATATAAAAGATTGAAGGAAGGTCACTGGATTCCGGGCTTCCATCTGCTTGGCACACAGAGGACATCAAGCTAATGGTCTTGTGGATTCTAGGAATCTGGCAAGGATGGACACAGAATATATATTACAGCTTTCACAACTGCAAGATCTCTTTGACAAGGAATGGTTCTAACTCTAGCAGTAACCTAATTCTATTAAGGAGTTACTTTATCCCTTAGCTTAACCTAAGTCCATTGCCCTGTAACTCATGGAATTGATCTTGGACTTTTCCCCATAGAAAATGATGCCTCCTTTCCCCCTCTGGTGGATGGACCATAGATGAGGCTAGATGGGTTTTCCCTAAGGAATCAAAGATGCATCTTTAACCTTTCTTCTTTGCATTCCTTTGGCCTGGCAGTAGGGAGAGAATCACTCGCCATACCCATGACAGTGAAATGGGCAGTTAGGGACGTGGATTCAAGCAGACCTAGTTCAAATCATAGCTCTGTCATGCAACTGTGAACAAGCATTGTCCTTGCTTTAGTTGTCAAAAGCTTCATTTGTAAGGCCCTACACTGAGGGTCACTGTCATGATACGGAAAGAATGAAACATGCTTACATAGCCAGTGCTCAACACAGGGTGGATTGTGCTATTATAAATACTGTGCTCTCTGCCTATCTACTTGATGGGTAAGGCGACAGAGACCATTTTGTCTCCTTGTTAGTGTTAAGTTGTTCATCTTGTTAGTTGGCCTTGTTAGTTGTTCATCTTGGACACATACAAGGTACCAGGTACATGTACATAATGACAGTAACGTCACACAAGCCTGCCAGTCTCTCCTTTTTCTCCTGTCCCTTGTCTGCCACAGTAGTTGCTACTTTTGGAACTCCCATTATTTTGATTTTGATCCGTGTTAAAATATGGGAGCTTTAATCTTAATTTGTCCACTTTATTGGGTTGAGAAATGATTCATAAATTAGAAAAGTACCCTCCTGGGTGTGTCTGGGTTGGTCTTGGATACTATATATGACCCCTACCATTTCTCTTCCTGTCTTGAACTGACAAGCTTTGCTCTGCTGCGTGCTTCTGTCACGATTCTTCTATTTTGGATCCAGCGAAACATCACAGACTAAACTCCTGAACTGTGAGCCAAGTGAAAACTCTCCTTTAATTGTGTACCAGGTATGGTGTCCCAGTGATAGCAAAGCTGACTAATAACGTGTAAAGTTCCCTGTAAATGCTTACTGGAAAGCCCACCTAACTTGAGGGAAAGAAAAGGTCTCAGGCAAGAATGAGGCTCCTCGGGCCTGAGGACCAAAATTATACTTTATAAGCCTGATCTAGATTTGGCTCTCCTTGTGACTGTGCAGATCACAAATATACCTGGACACTGGTTTGGAAATGTCTGGGAGGCATTCCCTGTGAAGCATCTGGTTTCCTAGAGACACTGTGATGGCCACATGGCAAACCAGCTCTTTATAAGATTGGCTGTGGGCCACGAACGCCAAATACCACTCACTGTCTTCTAAAAAATCCCATCGAGATGAATAATTCATAGTGTTCTAGTCCAGTCATAACGACTTGAGAGCTGTTTGTGAGTTGGGCACAGTGGTCGCCATTAGAGTCGGTCTTAAGCTCAGCAGTAAGAAAATAACAATCTCTAGAGCCCTGACTTTAGAAATGGTACAAAAATGGAATGAACAAAAATGAAAAGTAGATAATGGATCCACAGTGATTTAATTCTCGGTGATATTTTCATTTTATGCAAATACCAAAAGAAAAAAAAAAACCCTGGCTATTTGAAAGAAAAACAAGAACCAAAAAGTATTTAGTGTTTGATCAAGCAAGAATCCTTTCACACTTGTGCCAAGAGTGTTAAAACAAATATAGATGTTAAATAAAAAGCCCAGGTACCAAAGAGCAAAATTTAATGAAAGCCGGAACTGTTAAGTATGGATTCCTGTTGAGAAAAATGTCAATCTCTTTCAGAGTTTTCCCATTGCTCTATTTTTAAGAAAAGAGTAGTAAAAATACATAATACAAGTTAACTTTTTTCTTGCTTTTGTTTTCCCTTCACCCATCCACTGATGAAAAGCATCTTCTGCCAGAGTCTTGGACCCCCAAATAGCATAGACCCTCATTTCTAGCACAGCAGAGTCTCTCTCTATCAGATCATGTTGCTGGTAGGCTCAGGACTGGAGAGCATCTTACCAGACCAAAGGCAAAAGGTCTTTGAAGCATGTTGATGGTAGAGGTTATTTCCAACTCTTCCAAAATGCAGACTCCCGAATGGTGGGTCATGTCAGATTCCGGTAGGCTAAGGGCTGAGAAAGGCCAGTGTGAGGGCAGAGGGTTGGAGAGACGGTAGTTGGCAGTAACAAAAAGTGATAATCCATCTTGAAGGTGTTGCTTCATGACCCATGCCCACGTGAACTTGGAAGAAACTGAACAACATTTTGGTGTGAGGGTGAAGAGTTGATTTTGGAATGGTTCTTTGCTATGGTGGAGGATGAAAGGATAAAAAGGGAGACATAGAGATGGTGGGTATCCACTGAGAGAATCCACAGACGAAGCCAGTCATACTACGCCTATCTCTAGGTAGACTCTGAAACATTTCGCTGCCACTCGCTAATGATGATCTCTAGCAGGTAAGATTGGGTCGAGGTGGTCAGGGAACAAGCCAGATTATGGTTATGAATAAAAGCTAATGACACATGGCACACACTAAATCATGCACCTAGGAGAGTGGCTGCTGGAGAGCTGGAAGCCAGTTGCACCAAGAGTGAGAGTGGGGGGTCTCCGAGAAAGCGATACCAGGGGCTCCCACTTCCAATCCAAGTTTTAGCCTGGGTGGTTCTCCAAGGACCTGGCTGCTTCTCTAGTCCTGCTTTGTTTCAGCTTCGTAGTTGCAGTCACGGGTGTATTGATTCTGATCAACGAAAGGCGATGTCCTCATTCTGTCTTAGCCAGAGGGAAGAACAGCCTCTGTGTGTTAGAGGTTGTGGTCAGGGATGTCAGAGTCTCCCAGTGTCATTTTCAGTAGAATCAATTTTCCTATCGTTTTCAAATAATTCAGTCTTGGGCATCCTTGTTCTCAAAGATGACAGAACATTATGTGGCCACATGCTAAACCCTGTGTTAACATAAAAACCCAAGATCTCGGCGTCAGCTTCCCTCAAAACTTCAAATTTGGTTCCCCACAACTAAGACAGGGTACATCATGGAAAGCTGTATTGCTTTTAGGCTTTGATGAGATTTCTTCTTGTACAATTCTTCCATCATTTTTCTTTCCTAATTCACTTGCATGGCATTTCCCCTCACATCAGAGGCTCCACAGAGAAAGCGAGTCTACTCCACAAGGGGGTTCCTGCTCATCATCAAGCAAAGGAAAACCATGAATCACGAGTGATATCGCCCTGGCTGTCAGCTCTTCCCAAGGTTCTACTTGCTTCAGGAGGCCAACTGACCTTTAGCCACCACAGTGCCTTTGAGCAGAACACACTTCTCGGGGTTGAGGTTGACTATGAAGAAATACACCATATCCTCTCTAACCTGTGGGACATCTCTTGCATATCAAAGAAAACTTTTTCAGAGCAGCAGTAACTTCAAGAGTCCCCCTCTGACTACACAGATTTCCTTGTTTTCTCCATCACCCCTTTTCTGAGTTGCTTTTCACACGCATGCCTGACTAAATCAATCCTTAGACTGTGTTCCATCTGGAGAAAGCGGCCCAATTGTCCAACAATGCCTGTCTGCGTCCAAGGCCCGGGGCCAAGGAGTGGAGGGTGATACGGACATCCCCAGGGTGGTTATTTTTAAAGGTTGCCATTTTCCATTCTTGCTTGCAAGGCGGAATGAATCTTGAATCTTCAATCTGAAAACTGAAGAGGGTTGGGTAGGAGTTGGGGATGAGAAAGAAGAAGGGAGGGGCCTAACCCAACCCGCAAACCGTGGGTGTTAGTATGGAACAAATTACACACACTAAGACACACTAACAACTGAATTAAAAGAGAAAGTCCAGTTTCTTCGTTAGTGTTCCATGACTTCCATTTTAAGATTCAGGCTTCATTAGCCAGGGTTTCTCTCTTCTTATTGTAGTACATGGTTATTTATCATTCTCGCTTAGCAAACGTAAAAGGGTAAAAGAATATCAAAAACAAACAACAGAAACAAACAAACAAACAAACAAAAAAAAAGAAAAAGAAAAGGGACAGGAAAGTGGTTTCTTTTATTCTCCAGGAAAATCTGTGCATCGTCCTCCTTGGGTTGTGGTGGTTGGTGGTGGTGGCATTTCGTTTTGCTGTTTTTGGCACTGAAGGGTTTGGGATGGGGCTGGGGGGCCTAAGCCTGCTCCCCGAGGGTTTTCCGTCTGCTCCCGTTATAATCCCGTGGCTCCCAAGGGCATCCCTGAACTGTGGCTCATGCAGGGAATGGACTGCATGGACTTGGGGAAGTCGTGACTGACCACCCGGCCATTCTCTCCGCTGCCGCTGCCACTGGCTCCTGCTCCGCTGTTTCTGGGGAGGGTCGACGTCCGTATGGCTTCGTTGATGGATTGCTGTGGGATCAAACAGAAACCCTTTTCAGGAGGACAGGGGGTTCTTCCCCAGGTCCTTGGCAATGAATGACAATGGGGGATGGGTTAAGACTGGACTTAAGACATAACCTCAAGTCCTGTTTGCTCAATTCCTTCCCTATTCAGCCAGACTAATCTTCGACCTCTCCTAAAGGTGCAGAACTCCTGACACTGGTTCTGGATAAGTCTTATCCCTTCTCTGAACATTGGGTTTAAAGTTGAATGAAGTGTGCAGTCTACATAAGCACTAAGGTCCTTTCTTGTTCTCATATTCCATGCTTTTTGCTATTATTGATGATAAATATAGCAGTACAACCAAGTTAGAAAAGCTCCTGGGCGGGGGGTCTAGGAGATCTGAGTTTAGGAGATTCTGACTTCAATTTAGCCACCAGCATTTATCTGGGTATCTTGATTATCTGGGTATCTTCAGACTAAATTTTTTTTAAGCAATGCACTGGAAACTGATTTGAAATGTTAAAAGAAACCAAGAATGTGTTATTGTTGGGCTCAAATAAAATAACACTACCTGGTATTTCTTAGGGAAATGCATCCTACCTTTGGTACTATGTGCTGAGGGCATGTAGGGCTTTCCTTAACAAGAAGGACCCTAGTGCTTAGTCTTAGGACAATATACAAAATATAATTAGAAAGGGGCATGTGATAAAGAATAGGAAAATGCATTTGTAAGATCACTATCTGGATATATTATCTGCTAGCGTTTACAATGACACATCAGATCAATGCTACACCATTGATTTTTAAAATGTTTGAAACCTACATTGGAAGAGGTTTCCAAGGATTAGCACAGAATCAAATGAGTTAAGTGGAACATTTAAAACCCCCAAGTAGGTCCAGAGTCATCTCCTATTAGACTAAAGGAAGGGTTCTGCTCAGAATTCCTTTGGAGAAAGCAACTTTATAACATGAAATCCAGACTTTTCCTGTCCACCTCTCACTCCCCATTAAGAGACAATTGGATTTTGAAACAGGGTTTGGTTTCTTGGCAGGAGCCAACATAGAAGAAAAGTATCTGTGAGTAGAGAAGTTTTCTTCTCTAAAATAAACCATACCTTTCTTCAAGGCTTATTCTGTTCTTCCCCATTTCTTGTGGTCTTCCTAGACTATAGCGGTCTACTGCATGGCTGCCCCTCTTATTACTGCTCAAAAGTTTTACAGTGCAGTGGCCCTGCTTCAGCTATGTAAGTTCTGTCCTCTTTGGTGAAGGGTGAGGACCCAGTCTTCTCAATCCTTGGCTATCCTCAGGATACTGACATGCAGTTTAATACTTAATATATCCTTGAACCTATCTAAAGAAAGTCAGTAACCTCACAGCACAGGCAAAATGTCTGGGGTGTGTTCTCCTTTGCATATTCCCATGATTCTTGTGATGCAGAGAAGCCAGTCAACCTTCTGTGGATAGATGAAGATAAACAGGGCAGTTTCGAGCTAATTTCTTTTCCTGTTATCTTTTTATTGCTGGAAATTCTGACAATGTTTGAAAATGTTCTTTCTTTTTTAAAATCCATGATTCAGACAGATTTACCCCATATGATACTCCACCCACACTGGTTCTGTCTCCTCAAACCTTGAGACTTGATTTATTTACATTTTCTCTTGGCAGTTCTCCACTGAAGAGGAAGTGTGATTTGGACTGCATTCTTTGAAGTCAAAGGCCAAATAAATACCAGTGTGATTCTACATGGGGGAAATGTGAATGAAAACATGAGGCATTAGTGGTTACTTATTCTCACCTAAAAGAAGTTGAAAAGAAAATAACATTTTATTTGCATGGGTGAGAAATATGGAACTTTCATAATTTTGGTTTGGAGTGTCTCTCCATGATTTTTCTCCTCTACATTTCATTAATTAAAGTAAATATTTAAAGTTACAAATGCCACCTTGGACTTTGTCCCTCAAAGGCTCACACTCCTATAGTATTTCATTGAAACTGGCAGAATGTCATGGATTTACCTTAAACGGTAAAAGGGCAAAATTAACGGCATAGTGACCATTGGTGTTTAGCAAAGTCTGACATAACTCAGCTGGGTATGTAGCTAAAAACCACCACAGTCATGTCATTAGAAATGATTCTCAAGGAAGCTGGAGCTTCTCAGAGGCAGGTATGGTCTTACTGCATTCCGTTCTGTATGATTTCAGAACCTCAGAGAAGGAGAGTCACCATTCTGTGACCCTACTCCTTCCCATGCTGACTTAACAGCTATGGTGTGGCCTGGGTATCGGTGGTGTTGAAAGCTCTCAGGGGGGTTCTGAAGTGCAGGAGAGGTTGTCTTTTCCCTGGCCTCACAATTTCTCCCATTCACTTTACAGAGAGACTGTCTGATAAATACAACCACCTTGTTTAGGGCAGCAGGCATCTGACCTATTGACAGAGCAGAGGAACCGCAGAATGAGGTCCTAACAAGCTTTCATGGCTGACATTCCTGCCCTCGCCTGTGAGAACTAACTTTCTCCTTGTCCCTACTTGCCGTGCCAGCCAATCTTAGAGTTCATCTGTATTGTTGCTAGTTTGAAACCTGTAAAAAAGAGTTTGTGAAAAGTCCAGCTTCAAAAGCTCCCCCAATCGGCTCTTTAGAAACTCATTTTTCTAATAGGCATTACGTTTTAACATCTCAGCCTCTTCTTTTGCTAAAGAAAACTCTGCCCAGTCTCTGCATGTCTTAGAATATCCCAATAAAAGCTCAAAGCTCAGTAATGTCCTCAACTGGACACTCACGCAAAGAATGAGAGTGACCACCTGCTGTGGAGGACATCACTCCTCTTGTCAAGTCTTTTAGCTGCTCATTAATTCCAGGGAAATGTGCACACATTCAATTACTGCTGCTTAAACCTGCCCTGTGTTAGCATGGCCATATAGAAGTTTGAAAGGCCGGTGGCTCCCTTGGGGGTGGGAGAGGGGTTATTTCCTTTTGGGAGCAAGTTGGTTAATAAAGATCCTGGGTATCCTTAATTTCAGCTAAAAATGAAGATTTTTTGTTGCATTTTTTTTTTCCTAGCAGAGGGGAAGTGTAGGGGATCTGAGACTTCGCTGAATTCAGAATGTGTCCTAGATTATATATTTTTGGTACTATAAAACAGTTGAAAGTGTACTCAAGTATTGTGGTCTGCCCAAAGCCCCTCTCTGAGTCCCTGCCTCTCAAATGCTACCCATCTTCCCCAGTCTTTCTGCGTCTTAGTCTCCCCGGCTTTCTTCCCATTTCTTGACAAGAGTTCTAGGGTCTGAGACTCTGACCCTCATGCACTCTTTGCTGGCAACTGTCTTCCCCAGGTTAATTCCTTTCATGCTCCAAGTCTGTTAAGCATTACTTTCTTAGGGAAGCTGATCTGACTTCTCTGCCCACATCTGGCCATCAGTACAGGACTCTGCTTTTTAATTGACAGCACAGGGCATTTTTCTCCCTAGTACTCATTGAACAGGTAAATATTTGCTTATTTTCTGTTTTCCCTGTCAAACTGTGAGCTTCCTGAGAAGGGAGGCTGTGTCTACTGTATTCCTGTATCTCCAGTGGTGAGCATGCAGTGGTGCCATATCTTTGTAAGTTGTCTTCCCACCCACTGTAACATTTGTATGTTCTGCTCATCAAAAAATCAACGAGAACTCAAGGATGCACAGCAAGAGATTATGATATGCACCGAAGTTCATCTCAACAAACAGGTCAGGAAAATCTAAGGACAGGGGTGCATTTTATTTGCCTTTCTGCCTCCCACTGGGGCTAGGACTTGAACCACACGTGGTACACGCTCAAGAATTACCACTTGCCATGTGGTTGGAGAGAGAAGGAAATTTAGAAGTGCCGTGGCTGCTGGGCATTGTGGAGGTCATGTTGAATGTCTAATTCCTATTGCTTTAGCTCATAGGTTGTGTGACCTTGCTAGAACCAGTTAGATAGCTCCTCTGACTTGTATCTTTGCCTTTAGACTTGCAAATAATACGTGATTAATCAAAACCTATAGAAAACACCTTAAACTGAAAGTTGCCAAAAGTGTTTTTCCTTTCTCCATTTCTTTCCTTCCTCTCCTTTGCCTTTCTCCCTTACACATTCTCTTCTTTTTTTCTATTCCTCATCTGTTATGAAGTGGGCAGGGCTGGCAGGCTGGGCCTGAGGTAGGTTAGGGGCTCAAGACCGGAAAAGTTGGCCAAATGCTGTGATCAGGCAGAGATAAGAGAGGAGATTCTTGCCAAAGGTCCTTGTCATCATTGGTCCACAGCTCTGTGTGGAACTGGAGCTACATTTCCGAGGAAGCAAAGCACAGAATCAGAGATTGCAAAGCTAGAAAGAGTGCATTCTACTCATTTCTTTTGGATAAGAGAGGGATTGATGGAGCTTCAAAAATTAAGGCTGGATTGGTTAATAAAGAAAGTATCTTTTCCACAGTTAAAAGCTAGAAAAATTCTGTTAGGAGCTTCAGTGAGTTGTGCAGAAGTCATGCCAATCATTGGAGTTAAATATAGATGATCATGGTAGGAAGACTTGAATTAATGATTTCAAGAGACCTTGATGCTTTCTGAGAAATTTAACACCTTAATTATAAAGGGAAGGGTGAGAATATCTCCAAGGAGCTATGCTATGATTAGAGGCCTCTTCTGAGGATTCTAATTTTAACTTGATATTGTGACTTCAGTAGTGAAGGTCCACACTCCCAGCTTTAAGAAGATGCCAGTGTTTCGCCATCCTGGTCCCACCTGGCACTGGTCAGGTTTAATGGGCATTGCAATAATCCCAGAGGAAGGAACAGACATCCAGGTGGTTCCCAGCCTGGTGGGTGCCTGAGCTCATCACATCTTAGGAGCTCACAAAGACCGGTAAAAAACTACTGTGGAGGGACTTGTTTGTACTCTCTCACCTGGGTGGTTTTGGTAATAGTACTTGCTTAACCTAAGAGCAGCTTGGTTAAGTTTCTTGCCTTTCCTCTTCCTCTATGAGGTTTTTCTCCTCTGGAAACAACTGCACATGAATTGTACTAGTATTTACCCTAGTTGTGAGGGATGACTCAAAAGAAATCAGACACAGCTTCTGACAGCCAAAGTCTCTAAAGCAAAAAAGAAAACAACAAACAGATGCCAGTAAGATCAGCAAAGGGAAAGTTTTGAGGAGTATGCCGCTGTGCACTAGCAGCCATTACTATCATAAATTCTAGTTATCACTGCTGTTATTTACTTAGGACCTACTGTGGCATGGGAATTTGGCCAAGATCTTTATATCTATTATCTCATCCAATCTTCACAGCAATTAACAATTTTACAAGGTATTTCCCATCACTGTCCCTTTTGTTATTTTAAAAAATGAGGATCAGAGAGTTAGTAAAACTGTTCAAGAGGATGGATGGAGTTAAGAAATGGAGCAGACGGGATTGGCACGCAGCTTAGTGAGCTTGTTTCCTGACTGCTATGCTGGGCTGTGTGCTGGTGAGGAATGAAAGGGAGCTCCTGTGAGCTGGACTGGGACAGCCCTGAGCCTCTGGTTTGAAGAAGGTTTCTAGGGACAGTAAGTGTTGTAGCTCGTCTAGGTCTCATTCTGCCCCCACCCGTTTGTTGTCATTGGAGCAGTCTTCGTCCCTTGGAGGGTAAGACAGGAGAATCTCTAGGCTTATACGTGGGGTAGAATAGACAAAAAAGGCTTTATTTAGGCTTTAGAAGCCCTCGGTTTGTCCAGTCAAGTTCTTTGGAGGTCTGCACTGGGTTTAGGTTTTGAACCAACACTCTGCGGTGATTCACCTTTTTTTGAAAAGAACTAGAGGTAGGAGAGTTGGTCGCAGGTAGGATTAAGGGGTTCTTAGGTTTTCTTGCAAAATGCCTTTATGCTTCTATCTTGTAATTGTTCCTTGTTTTTATATCTTAGGGAAGTGATCTTTAAATGGGCCCTATGGACAGGAGATAGGAAGGGAGACCAGCTTGCATAAAGGCATACGGGAGAAAATCATAATAATATGGACCATGGAGGAGGTAAAGAAAGCAGATTTCTGGAGGTGGGTGGGTGGGTGGGTTGGGGGAAGGGAAGATAGGCTGGTGCCATGATGTGAAAATTCTGTATGCTAGGGCATTAGTTCTTTTTTTTTTTTCTGCCATTTTTTCCCCTTGGTTACAGAACTGACTAGAGTTTCCAAACTGAGGATACCGACAGGTGACTTCTACAAGGGTGACCCTGGATATTATAGGATGGTCGCCCATGGCACAGAAGAGCTGACAAAATACCATGTTTGTGATTCTGCAGTGTGAGGGCTGAACTTGGAAGCAACTGAACGTTGAAATGTAGGATTCTTAGGGCTCCTTGTAGGGAAGCAAATCCTACAAGTCTTGTTAGTTCAGTTAAGCCGAAGTAATAGCCTTGACCAACATGACACCCTGGGCATTGGCCCTGAGTGACTACCCTTTCTTTCCCTCCTTGGTCGGTCTCACTTGTCCTTTTCAATTTGTGCTGCTTTTTCTTTCTATAAATTTCTATGGGCCTTCCAATCTATTCATAGGTGGCCTCACTGGATAGTTTTCGGGGACTCAGTCTTTGTTGAAGTTCAACTGTCACAGGTCACAGATGACCCCTCATTCTTTTCTCCTCCCTCATAATATCGTGCTCATGGTGTCCACCTTGTGACTTTCCATAAATATTTCTTTACTGAGGCTAAACGACTAAAGGACCCTGAAGATTGTTTAATCCAAACTCACTTTGGATGCTTCAATTCATATTCTTCCCCAGGAATTATCTACCTGCACTTCTGTGCCTCCAGTGACTGGGAGGTTGCTACTCATTGGGATGGTCCATGCCATCTTTAGGTAGCTTGATAGAAGTGAATTTTGCCTATGGTGGTAATATCTATTTCTATTGCTTGTAGTTTGCTGCATACTTGGCACTCTATGAAACTTGTCTTTTTTCCTCAACTTGGAAAGTTTTCATACTTTTACTGACAGCTCTTATATCCCCATAATTCTTCCCTCTTCTGTCTGCTGTCAGTTAGAGTTGGTGCAGTTTGAGACACCTAACTAATTTGCTTACCATTCTCTGTTCATGATTCTCTTTGCCAATGTTTAACAAACAATTTAGAGGTTAAGAAAACACCCAATATACTGAGCATGATAAGATCAGCACAGAGCAGAGGGGAGACATACATTTTCCTATTTGGGGAGCTATATTCCTTTTGACAGACTTCAGAAAGATCAGTGGTTTTGTTTGTTCATTTTTGTTTAGCTTCGTTTTCCAGTAGTGAGGATTAAACCCAGAGCCTTGACAACTAAGCTACATTTCCCTTTTTCTTTCTTTCTTTCTTTCTTTCTTTCTTTCTTTCTTTCTTTCTTTCTTTCTTTCTTTCTTCTTTCTTTCTTTCTTTCTTTCTTTCTTTCTTTCTTTCTTTATTTCTTTCTTTCTCTCTCTTTTCCTTCCTTCCCTCCTTCCTTCCTTCCTTCCTTCCCTCCCTCCCTCCCTCCCTCCCTCCCTCCTTTCTTTCTTTCTTTCTTTCTTTCTTTCTTTCTTTCTTTCTTTCTTTCTTTCTCTCTTTCTTTCTTTCTCTCTTTCTCTCTTTCTTTCCTTCTGTCTCTGAGTCTTGCTAAGCTGTTAAACTGTCCAGGCCAGCCTTGAATTTACAATTCTCCCTCAGTCTCCCAAGTATGCTGGGATTATAGGTGACTGCCACCAAGCTGTGCTAAGATCAACATTTATCGCAATCATTCTTGCCTTGTTGTGCGGATTGTCCTCTCATCCCTGAACCTTTAGGCTCACCAGCCTCACCTGACGCAGACGTTACCTCGGGCCCTATGTATGCCCAACACACCCTGTCTTCCTTCCTTTCTCACGACTGCCTCTGCCCCAAGGCTTCCTTTCTAGCAACGTTCAGTTTCCTGTCTTGACCTGACTTCAACCACTCCCCACCCTTTCTAGGAAAGAGATTCTCAGGAACCCCAACTGTATCACAGAACAGGTTAGAAAGAAAGGCTGGGAAGACGATGCCACCTTCATCCGCTTGGATTCACTACGGGATTTGTAGCAGAACTCGATTAAGGCAACCAGCATAGCTAGTCCAAGTCCTCCGATCAGGATGTAGAACACGCCTGCCACATTGCTGAGACTCAGAGCGCTTGTCTTGTCCTAGGAAGAGGAGGGAAAGGAAGGGGAAGGGAAAAGAATAAAGTGAGTTAAGAGGTTGAAAACCATCAAAGTGACAGCATGTTTACACACATCCACTCAACCCCACACCCTCCTTAACATTCAGAATAGTTGAAAAAGCTTTGTATTCATTGGCTTAGTGTTAAACAGTCTGGGGGGGGTAATATGTGTATATAACAATTTTCCAAGCATCCTTGGTTGTTCTGAATTTATAATTCCATCCCTTCTCTCTTCAATGCCTTTTCTAGGGTAAGAGATGCTATAGGAAATGCAGGGCAGCTTCTATCAAAACTGAGCCCTTAAGCTCATGCATTCTTTCAGAAACCCAAGTGCCTTTCTTTGTGGCTCAGACTCCACCCCTCACCCCTGTGGTGCTCAGCCACACAATAGCCTTGTGCACGGTTTATGGTTCCAAGTGTTTTCCTGAGAGTTGGCACTTAAAAGGGACTTTCCTCTGGATGTGCATTTGGTTTCAATTTAATAAGACAGTTATTATACGTATTATAAAGATCAAGCAATGTGCACCTTTAACTTAATGCTCTGAATCCCATTTTAAGGGGAAAAAGCTAGGGGGCTTGGATTAGTAGAGAGGCAATGAGAGAGAAAAATGGCCTATTAAGTCCTAACAATTATGCGTAATTAGTGTCATTTTTTCTGTTGGAGGTGGTTGCTGCAAAACACTGTAGGCAGACCGAGATCTGGGTGGCTGAATTTAGAAATCTCTGTTGTCTATGTAAATGATCTTGCATCAGCTTTGAAGGAACAGAGTCACAGCGCAAGTTGTTTACTTCCTAGAAGTCTGGGCAATTGAAAGGGACAGAACTCAGTCTATAGAATCTGAGGAAGGCCACTGGTCTGTTCCATCAGCTCCGAGTTCTGTCATGGCCAGTAAGGTTTGAAAGTGGGTAAATGAGGGAAACACCTTCCCAAGAGGTGAGGACAACCAAACCAAATGATAGACATGGCTCACACAGAGGGAGACACTGCTCAGCCAGAGTCTTGGCATAGGCATAGAAATGTTTACATCTTAGAAGAAAATGTATCCCCAGATGTCATGCTAGCCTCAACTCTTTTGTTGTATTTATTGCTTGTTCAGGTACAACAAATGTCTCATTAAATGATATCAAAATGCACATCTCACAGAGCACAAATACCCATCATTGTTGGCTGATAGCTAGTACTAGATGGGATGTGTGGCTTTTGCACTTTGTGTGTTGTCAGGTGGGGACATAGGTGAGCTGCACAGTGGTGGACTGAGGAACCCTAGACTTCTTGGACATTTGTTAAATTAGAATCTGGGCACCTAGAAAGAAATTTATTTACAAAGTCAGTGGCCTACTACTTGTTCTACTTGGTGCATTGTACAGGATTCAGCAGGGTGAGCTTAGGGAATACAGCTGGCAAATAGCAGCAGGTCTTCCATCCCAGAAGCAGCAGAGCTAAAGGATTATCTAAGGCACACCCCCTGATAGCTTCCTGCATTTCAAGGCAGATGGCTCTTGAATATAGGTTATACTTGGCAAGGCAAAGCCTGGCTTTGGAAGCAGAGGAAATGATTATTCAAAGGATTCAGAGGGGCAAAATCTCCCATTCTGGGATAGTGGTCTGATAGGAGAAATGTATAAAAATGAGTTTAGAACTTTCTTCAAGGGTTGGCTGAATAAGTAAATTTCCACTTCACTCAAAATCTCTCCCTGTTTGTTTTTGAGGAGGTATGTAATTATTCTTCTAGAAAGTAATTGAGAGTCCTTGGAGACTTCGAGTTCCTGTGAAAGTCTTCTGTTTGAGCAGGAGCAGGGGTGGGGTGGGAAGCATCTTAATGTATCATCAGCTCATGTCTAGCGAAGAGTGCTTGATGATAATGCTCAGATGGGGTGGACGGGGAAGGTGGTAGACAAGTAGGCTGGAAACTCTGACTTAAAATCTCATCAGCCTTTCGGTAGCTGCACACTTTTCCTCTTTGGTCACCAAAGTTATTTTCTTCTGCATGGTTTTTCCAAAGGCCACTTTGCTGTGGATGGTTTTCAAGGATAATGGAGTGGTGGACATCTTTTTGTTACTATCTTCAAAATTCCCTATGAAAGTATCTGCCTATCTTGCTGTAGAAGATAGACTCTCCACTTCTTGTGCAGTACATCTGAAAAAGAAATAGGTCTGATTTTCATATGGAGGTGGACTGAAAAAACATTCTATATAACTGCTGAAAGAGAAGGGTTCCAGTGACTGGACATCTGATTGTGCCTGGAGGGCAAGAGTGTCCTTTGTTTCTGAAGGAATCTTTGGGCCAGGGAGATGGTTATGTGCACGTGTGCATGAGCGTGTGTGAGCATGCACACATGTACGTGTGTGTGTGACACATTCCATACACAGAGTACAGCTGGATGGCATGGAAATTCCACCTACTGTAGGACATAGATCATTTAGGATCCTTATTCAGGCTGACACAATTCGATTGTAGCCAGGGTCAGGACAAACTTCTGGACTGAATGGGTGACTTGGGTTCCATCATCACCAGTGCCAGACCAAACCCAGCCATCTCAATCTGGTGTCATTTTAAGTGGTGTGTGATAAAGGGCTAGTATTAGTATGCTCCTAGTTTAGATAGTTGAATCTACATTTAAAGAAGGTTTTGATTCTCCTATGTGGGCCATTGAATTTTTGATAACATTGGATTTAGATCTTGCTAAGGAGATGTGAGGTTTTCAATTCCATTGACAGTTACTAATGCTTCCTGATTCACTCAGCTGGAATACAACGGGCCATCCTATAGCATCCTATACACCAATCCTTTTGACCCGTGGGCCAGCGTGTCCATATAAGAGGAGGCTTCCTGGTGGACTTGTATATGAACTGCAGTGTTTTTTCAAACTGAGTTCTCCCTGGGGAAAGAGACCCCATTTTCCTCCTGTTCTATAGCAGCTGCACTCCCCTAAACCAGGCAGCTTGTTGGTGGGAGTGAAAAAGTCACAACTTGTCTCCTGCCAGGAGGAGGGAAAGAGAGTGACAGTACTGAAAAGACTGACAAGTGAAAAGAAAAACAAAGATCCTGTCTTTCAGAATCATTGGGTTTGTTGCTATGGTGACTTGGCCCCTTTCATCTGTTCTCCTTAACCTGTTGTCTTGGTTTGCCGTCTCCCTCATATGGAAGGGAGAATTTCCCCCATATTTCTCCTTGCTCTTCCAACGTATTGGTGGACAGTACCAGAATCGTCCTGTTGTTTCTCAGTCAATATCCTTTCCAAGAATGTTCAAGATTTCCAAGACTTGGCTAGATCAAGTCTTCATGAGTCGGACTGAGTCAGCCTGAAGCAGAGAGGCTGGAAGCTTTCTTAAGAACAAGAGGAGAAGGTTCTATGGAAAAGCCAAGGCCACTGGCCATAAGACCAGGCCCTCCCTCGTGCCTGCAAAATCTGGACCAATCTGGAGTGTCTCATGCTCTTCCTCTTTCTTATCTCAAATGCTTTTCCTCTTTTCTTTCTGGTGAGAGTATGAACTTCTACGAAGCACAGCATAAGCTTTTGTTCCTCTCTACATTCCACTGGACTTCCATATGTTTGCTAATCCGCTGACAATTGGAGTTTTTGGAGACTGCCTGCAAATTTTCTGCAGACTGTTGAATTTGCAACCCAACATTGCCTTTTGGAGCCATGCAGAAAAATCCATCCTATTGTGGTTACTGCTACTGCTGGGTCTGGCTGATTCCTTTCCAAACTTTATTTTTGGCTTAAAAACTATTTCCTTGAGTGATTGTTTCTGGGAAACAGAGGCTAAGTGGTTGGCTAGGTTCATTGACTAGCTAATACCAAAACTGGAAAGCTACCAAGGGGTAGAGTTGACTAAACTAAAAAGGAGACCTTTCAAGTAAATAGAACACACTACCATAAGTGGTGGTGTTCCTCAAACAGAACTCGTGAGGAAGAGGCTCACATGATCATAAGGTATTCAGACACTGG